TTGTGGGCCAGGTCCCCAGATGGGGGCGCTTGAGAGGCAAACACATATTGATGTTTCCCTCCCTTTCTTTCTCCCTCCCTTCCCCTCCCTCTAAAAATAAATAAATAAAATATTTTTAAAAAAAGTTCTCAAGGTATTTTTCACTGTGTGCTCTCTTCTGATCCTGAACACTTTGGGAGCTGGTGCTCTAACTCTCCCCGAGAACAGTGATGTGAGAGAGAAACATAATTCAGTTGCCTCTTGTATACTCCCCAGCTAGGGGCTAAACCCTCAACTCAGGTATGTGTCCTGACTGGAAATCCAACCAGTGGCCTTTCCCTTTGCAGAACCACACCCAGCCCACCGAGCCACACTGGTTAGGGCTAATCCTCACTCGTTTTAGAGGTGAGAGAGCTGAGACTCAATGCCTCTGTATAGCCCCAGATCCTTCTGATCTGGGCAGTAGCTAAAATGATCATGGTCCTTTCCCAGAAACCCTGACACCAACATATCAGAGGCTGGGAGGGGCTGGACTTGAAGTTTATCAGGGAAGACCTGTGGGCTCACCGCTCCCGCAGGCCAGCCTTTCACCAAGGGATGTCAGTGGCCCCAACACCAAAGTCATTGGAACTCTTCAGGCCTTCTCATACAAGGGCCCCTCAAAACCTAAGACCGGAGGCAACGCGAACCAGAGAAATAGGGGAGGAGAAAGGGGCAATGAGAACCAGAGAAACTGGGAGGAGAAAGGAGAAACTTCCTCCCCCTAAGTCCTTCCATCCCAGCCTCTCCTGGGCCTCAAGGCTGAACCCTGCAGAACCAAACCCCTCTATCCCAGCCTAGCCCACTGTTGCCTGGAAGAGCAGCACCCCAGCGTCTCTGCCTTTGAGAGGCAGTCAGCAGTTGCTGGGGGTATGCCTATCAGGCACCAAACTTGCCTCATCAATACTAGTTCACTGTTTTTTAAATGAACAATCAGCTATCTACTATGTTATCCCTTTCATTCATAAAGCACTTTCACCTCTGTGGTTTCCATTGACCCTGTGAGAACTACCAGGTAAGGATCACTATCCCCACCTGCCAGGTAAGACAAAGAAGACTCAGAGAGGGGCAGAATCTTGCTCAAGGTCACTGACACCCCTTGGAAATGGCAAGCTAAGATTTAAAACTTCTGTAAGTTTCCTCTGTATTCTGCTATCTACCGACTGTCAGGACCAAGCACTGTATTCATTGTAAAGTCAGACTGAGCTGGGTGCTAGGGGACACCCTTGGTCTTTATGAAACTTCCAGGATATCCAGGAAAACAAGACTCCTGCATGCATGTGGAGACTTACTCTGTTCCTGGTGGTACCTCACCTTACAGATAGAGAAACTAAGGTTTCAGGATAGTTAAGCAACTTATCCCAGTAAGTGGTGGAGCCAGGATTTGAATCAGGTCTCCTCCTTCCCAATTAAATGCTATTTTTAGCATAATGCACAGGTCCCAGGTGGAAAAGGATGTCGACCTGAGAGGAAGGGCTGTAGAAGTGCAGAGAAAAAAGGAACAATCCATTCATCCAGCAAACATGTCATAAGCAAGATTTGGCACCTGGTACTTGGGACACAGAGAAGATGAAGACCTGGACTCATCTCTCAAGGAACTCAGTCTAGCAGGAGAATTCAACCCTGCACAGGAGAAGTGACCAGGACACTAAGGCAGCATAGAAGAGGGGACCAGCATGTCAAGGGGCATAGAGATTTCTCAGAGGAGGGGGTCGTATATGAGGCACTGCACAGCAGAGGCCTGAAGAACCAGCTCATTTCACTCCCTAGCTTCTTGGAAGCCACGAGTGGCTCCCCAGTGCCCTCAGGGAAAAAAATCCAACTCCTTCATTTGGTATTTAAGCCTTTCCTAATGAGGCCCTGCTCAGCTCTCAGCCTCCTCTCTCTACTGGCCCTTGATCCCTCCTCTGGCCCCCCTTCTGGTCTTGGGTTGGGTGGTGGTCCTCTTTGGGAAGCCTGACACCCCACACAAACCTGTGAGGTGTTCCTCTACTGCCACATCTCCTTGCGTGCACTGTGTGACACTTGGCACTCTATATTGGCACTGCCTATCTTGTCTTCCTCCTCTTGTGCAGGGGAAGCCATGTGAATGCAGACCAAGATCCCCTGTGCCCACCTTGAGGCGTGACATAGAAGCTGTTCAATGATTGTTAAATGGACAGAGTATGCCACTCTGATGCTTCCCTAAGATCCTCTTACTGCACCAAATCACATCTCCCCTGCATGAAAGCCTGGTCAGTTTTTCCTCCAAGAAGCCTTCTGAAATGAACTCTCAACAGTTCAGCCCCTTTACCACACACAACGTCTACCCAATGCTCATGATCTTCCATTTACTCATTAAAATATATATTATATATATCTATGTCTATATCTATCTATCTATCTATCTGTCTATCTATCTATCTCTCTGCAGATGTCTGCTCTGTGCCAGGCCTGTGTGTTCTGGGGACAGGGAGAACAAGACCCACACTGCACTCTCAAGAACTCAGGAAGCTGGGAGTCTGGTAGGGGACTCATGTGTAGGGACAATGAAGGCAGCATGGCAAGAATTAGGTTGGACAAAGGGATATCAGCTGCGGCAGGTGCAAAGAGAAAGAGGCTAAGTCTGGGGGAAGGTGTCTCTAATGTGCTATTTGTGGAGGATCTCTTCGATGAACAAAAGAGGGCGTCTTGGCAAAGGGAATTGCAGATGTGAAGGCACAGTGAGGAGGCTGGATCCCAGGGAGAAGGAGGGGGCCTCGAGGCAAGGCAGCAGGGAGGCCACAGTTGTGACTCGCCCTGTGTGCCCTTGAATTGCAGTCTGTGGGTGGGCAGTGATGTTTATTTTAGTAAAGCGGGTGTCTTGGTCAGGTAGGGTTGACAATGGAGGGTCTGAAAGGGAGAGACTGCAGAAGAGAAAACCAGGCATGAGGCTGGTGAGGAGATGTGAGCCAGCAGAACTGGCAGGGCACTGGGGCTATCTGAGGAAGGCGAGGGGAGACTTGAGTGTTCCCCGGTCAGTTCTCAGGAAAGGAAATAAATGGCCAAGCCGGTTGCTCGCCCAGAAACCCCGGGGCTGGCACTGGAGTGAGTGGCTCCAGGTGGAGCGGTACAGCAGGCGTGGGACACGGGGCACAGTCACTCTGGTTAGAGGCGCTCCCTCCTCAACACTCCCGCCCCCAGCCCACCCCTCTGCCCTCGAGGCCAACAGCCCCCAGGAACAGAGAGCCGGCCTCTAGAGCTGGTCCCCTAGGAATTGGAGCCGCCACTGCTCGGAGTGCACTCCTGGCTCTATTTGACCACGACCCACCCACGCAGACAGACTCAAGAAATGGATCCGGGGCTGGATGCCCACTCTTCGGAACAACTCCTTCCCCGGGGGCCTGGTCGCTGACAGCACTCGGGGGAGGGACACGCGCTGCCCTGCCCGGTCAGCTCACCTGGGAACAGGACATTCCTAGCTGGGGTGGGGGCCGCACTCCTTCCCTGCTTCCTGTGCAGGGGAGGGGGCCAGCCCTAGCGAGAGGCAGTGGCGCCGGTCCCAGGCCTCCTAGCCCTGGCTCTTAGCTCACAATCCCCGAGGCAAGGGAGGGGCAGGCGGGCGTTAGCTGACAAAAGAGGGGCCTCAATTTGCAGGGAAGCCCTAGGACTAGGTCTTGTAGTGGGCGTGGTGGGGCTGGGCGGGTCAGACAGGAGAGGTCTAGCCTCCCTCCCCGGAGTGGCGAAGGGTCTGGCAGGTGAAGAGCCCAGAGCGCACGGTGAACGGGAGTGGGCTGGAAGGGAGTTGGGGAGACAAGGCTGTAAAGGGATGGATGCCGGGCTCCAGGCTGTGAAGAATGAAAGCTCCGGGTGGGCAGGGCTTTGCTCTGTGCGGCTCACTATATGCCTATAAACGTTTAGGCATGTAGAAGTCCCCCTCACCCCAGTATCTGTTGGATGAAGGACAAGCTGAGTGATTTACACTCCGTCCTGAAAACAGTAAGTTTTAAATAGGAAAGCGACATGGTCAAGTTTGTTTTAGAAAGAACATTGTGGAAGCCATTGCGGGGAGGGGGAAGCCTCCGCAATATTGCCTGAGATGAAGGCGCAGGCTGGAGCAACGCTGTATTGTTGGTCAACAACGGAAGGAAATGGGAGGTAGCCCCACTAGGAGCCCTGGTGAGATGGAACCGCAAGGGCAGGGGCAAGGGATGAGAGGGAGAAGTCAAGAATCTGTCTTAAGGGGCCTAGTTTTGGCCACTGGATGAATAGTGTGCTACAGAAAGAAATTTGTTAGTATTGGGTAGGATCCCAGGCACCAGTTCTAAAACCCGCCCCACATTCTCCTACCTACCCTAATGCTAAGGCAGAACAGGGATAGCTTCCCGGACCCACAAAAACATGCAGAAGGAGGAGTGGAGATAGGAGCTCAGGTGACACTTGCCTCTCCTTGCAACCTAGAGGGGAAAGAACAGTAGTGTGTCCTGAGTGGCAACTAGTCACAGGGCACTGTGCTCAACGCTTTACAGATACTATCATTTACTGGATTTTCTGAAATGCCCCTGAGGTGTTAGCATCCCCATTCACCAGAAGAGAAAATAGGGGATTTGCTGATTTTATCAAGGGTTACACCATTAATAATTAGTGAAGCTGAGACCTGAATGCAGTCTGATACTCAAGTCAGATCTCGCGTGTCTGAGAAACTAAAAGGGAGAACAAAGGTGTGCTACAAGTCCAAGCCAAGAGTCAGATTGGCTCCTATCACTTGTTTCTCTTAATTTGACATGCCATGTAGACCGTTAAAAAGGTAAATTAAAAACTGTTGCATAATGATTACAACACTGGCTGTAACTTTTAATCAAGCTACATTCCAGCTCTAACATAGACCATGTGTAAATTTGAACGTTATTCTGTTCCTGAACCTATATTCTAATATATAAAATGAGATTATATGAAGTGCTTAGCACAGACTAAAAGCTCTATTAGTATTATTACATGATCATGCATTTGCTAGCCTGGGCATCCCCAAGGCTTCCTCCAGAAGAGGGAGAGAAGCAGGGGCAGCTAAGAAAGCCCCTCTTCTTCACCTGTCAGGTTCTAGCTTCTCCCCACTCTGGATGTCACAGGAAGTGAAGAACAAGAACAGGAAGGGTAGACTATCTACATTTGTGGTAACATGTTAGCCACTGGCTGTATCTTGTTCTTAAGCATTTAAAACATGGCTAGTCCAAATTGCAATGTGTTGTATGGGTAAAATACATGTTAGAATACCCTATTAAAAAACAAGAATTTAAAATATTTTTTAGTGTTGTTGAAATGTATTTTACATATACTGGGTTAAATAAAATGCATTAATGAAGTTACTGCCACCTGTTTCATTTTTTTAATGTAACTACTAAAAAAATTTAAAATCACACATGTGCCTCACGTTGTATTTCTACTAGCTACATTGACTGCGATCCTTTGCAGGCATAAGTGAAGAGCTCCAGGTGTCCACCCATCCATCATTAGAGTGTTTTTTATGTACCAGGCACTATCTTAGGTGCTAGGAATAGAGCAGTAAATAAGACGGACACCGTTTCTGTCCTATGGGAAAACACAGCCAGTAATGACTGGTTGTGGTAAGGGCTTCAGAAAACAGTCGGAAGTCATTTTGACGTGAGAGTTTGTATTTCTGACAGGGTCGTCAGTGAAGCAGTATTTGGGTAAGACCTAAATGGTGAGAAGATACACACCATGCAAAGATCTCAGGGGATATTCCAGGCAGAGGGAACAGCAAAAGTAAAGGCTCTGTAGCAAAAACAAGCTTCATGTGACAGAACAGAAGGGTCACTGGGCACATGGTGAGTACTGAGAATAGTAAATCACATATTACCTTGGCAAGAAGTTTGGACTTTATTCTACGTATAATGAGGAATTATTGGGTTGTTTTTATACAGAAGCGCTGTGACCTGCTTTATAATTTTAAAAGATGATGCTGACAGTCTCTGTGGAGAACGAAGGAGAGTGAGAGTAGAGGCAGGGAGCCAAGGCAGGAGGCTACGGCATCAGTCCAGGCCAGAAATGTCGGTGTCGTGGGCTAAGGGGTGGTGGTGGAGGTGGTCTGAAGCAGTCAAGATTTCTGATGTATTTGGAAGGCAAAGCTAACATGACTTGCTGATTGGGGTGGACAGAACGAACAGAATCGGGGATGGCTTAGGTCGATAGGTGCTGATGGAAACATGTAGAGAAAACTGGTGATGAAACAAGTTTTTGGGTAAAACCTAAGGCTTTTGTTTTGGACATGTTAAGCTTGTAATGACTTCAGGTAAGGCTTTTTCATGAGTGAGCCTGCACGAAACTTGAGGGAGAGCTCAGGGCTGGACATGCATGTGAGTCAGCAGCACATGGTGGTATTTAAAGTTAAGGGAGTGGATTAGATCACCTAGTAGAAAGGGAAGAGGGCCAAGGATTTGGACCAAAGCAGTTTACGTGTCAGGAGACTGAAAAGGTGCAATTGGTGAAGTAGGAGAAATGTAGATGGTAATTCCAAATCAAAATGAAGGAAAAAAACCTTTCAAGAAGGGAGTAGACAATTGAATCAACTGCTGCTTGGCACTACAAAAGTCTAACTGCTCCAGGCACTTAGGTGCTCTTTCCTCTCAAGTGCTGGCTCCTTAATAAACACTATATTGTGAAAGAGACAGGTGCTCAATGCTTATGAGTTGTGTGACCTTAGGTAAGATCAAGCTGATCTTTGCAGAATGGATTGGAGAAGGGAAAAAAAAGAGTTGCATGTTCAGGAGACCCACGTGGCAAGGAACTAAGGGCAGCCTCTGGCTAAGTCTGTTAGTAAATAAAGTCAACAACCTCAGTCCAACCCATGAGGAACTAAAATTCTGCCAACAACTTAAGTGAGCTTGGTAGTTGATCCTTCCTCAGTTGTGTCTTCAGGTGAGAACCGAGCCCTGGTCCTGACCAACGATTTGATTGCAGTCTTGTGAGAAACCTTGAAGTGGAGAACCTATCAAGTGTGCCTGAACCCAACCCACAGAAACTATGAAGTAATAAATGTATGTTGTTTTAAGCCACCAAGTTTGTGATCTATACAGCAATACATAATTAATAAAGCACCCATTAAAAATGTATCATTACCAGGCAGGTCAGAAGCTTCTGAAAACCTGGGGATCTTTCTGTAGCCAGAATCAACCACTATACCACCAGAGTGCGTGCGTCCCAAAGGCTTTTGCAGCTGACTCCATAGAGATCCTCTTGTGAAATGAAGTGATCAAGTTTATCACCTGGGTGACCTTGTCAGGTTCTAGGTTCTAGCACCAAATGCTCACAAGGAGTACATCACTTAAGGAAAGGCCAGGAAAAAGAAGGTGGTGTTAAGGTTTACCAAGCAGATCAGCACGGGGAACATCCATCCCCAGAATGGAACTTGGGCAACTGTGGTTCCGAGTACACACCTCCCCTTTTACAGCATGCTGTGATGGATTATAGGGCACTGAAGGAAGTAGTGCCATTATGCTATACAGTTAATTCCACTGAATAAACAGGAAGTGAGATAGAGTCCCACAGGTGTCCAGTCAGGTTCAGAACTACAGTAACTCAACCAAAAAGTCTGTTACGTTCTGGAATAATTCAGGACAAAATGAGTTTCAATCTGACTTAACTCATACTCAACAGGTTGGCTATTTTTCTTGTTCCTCCCCCACTGCTCTATTCTCTTTTCCACAATATTTTAAACTTTCCATTTAAATGGATTTGTCTTGCTGCAGAGGCCTGAACTCTGAATCTCTTCCTCAGTGAAGCTATAGAGTGGCTTATATGATGGTTAGTAGCAGCCTCCAAGATCTCTTCCAAGTCTAAAACTTGGTGAGTTTAGATGCCAGCTCTCCCACAACCTGGCCATTGCTGCTTCCTCAGATTCTCTAGTTGCTCTAGCGAGGCAGGAAGAGCAGAGGGGGGAGCGAAACCTCACCAACAGTGCAGAAATACCAGAATCACTCACTCTGTAGTGCAGCCAAGTTGGTTATCCTCCTCCATTACCCAATATTTTTGTTCCCAGATGAATTTGAAATTGAAGTTGTATCAACTGTTAAGTAGTCTAAACCCAATCTTAAAGACTAATTACAAAAAAAAAAAAAAAAAATTTAAAACAGTTCCCTCTGGTAATCCTTGCCAACCTTTTCACAGGAAAAAGAAACTCTTCTTTCTCCAATGCTCTGACTTACAAGCACAGAGGGAGACAAAAGAGAAGGTAGGTACACTGGTCAGTATGCTGAAACTGACTGGCTGGGTATCTGTGACCCAAAGAAGATCCTGAAAAAGACTGATGTGATTCATTACCACCCCAACTGAAACTAAAAATGACAGCACTACAGTCACACACGGCCTCTCTGCAAGAAGTTCATGATTCACCTACACACCTTCAATTCTCATGCCATCTCCCATCAAGGCAGAGAATGGGGGTAACAAGGAGGTGGCACGTCCTTGCCATGAGAATTGTTTGTCAGAGTCTGTTCTCAATGAGTCAGTCCCTGGAAGTTGGGGTCAGGACTTGGAGGCAGGGCCACTGGTTGGCTTAGCAACTTGTCCACTATGCTGATTTTGGCATCTTGCTTCTCAATGTCCTCATATGGAGTCCAGGACAAGTCATGCTGTAGCTTGTAGGCACCAAGGAAGTCATGTGGACAACTTGCTCCCCATTCCTAGAGAAGGCAAAGGAGTCAGTTCTGATTAGGACAAGATATAAAGACATTTCTTAATTATGCCACAAATTTCTTTTTTGGCTTTTCACTTCAGAACAGTCAGAATCATCCTGGAAAGCATTACATCAGACATCAGATTCCTCCCTTAACAGAGATAATGGCTGTGAAATAACTTAAGCACATGTATATTTTTCAGAGTCATATCCAGGCTCACATCACCTCCCATTTTCTTGGAAACCATTTACCAACCCCTATGCCTACATAATCACACACACACGCCAAAAATTTCTCAAAGCCTAGAGTAGATGTTTGTGCAAAATTAAATGTTCTCACCTTTGGAGAAATAATAGAAAAATACTGCTGACCACTATCTCGTTTATAAAGGTAGTAAATGTTGCCAGGTTTTTTCACTATATTACAAGCTGCATGGTGCAAGTCAGCATCTCTGCGAGCATCTTCTAATACCTAAGAACCACAGAGAGGTAACAAATTAGGTATTGAAGGTAAGAGGCACTCATATTCATTGATGAACCCATCTGAAATCTAGAAACTGTTCAATGCTTAGGATCTTGCTTTCTCCCCCATAGCAATAAATCACTGCTGACAGCCAAATGATTCTGAAGACACAAAAATTAGACTATAACTTTACTATGTTTTAAAAATTCCTTTAGAACAATTATATTTAAAAATGTTACGTATTACTGGCTTTGGTGGTTTTTGAAGTTCTTCCCTACCTTTCTGAAGTAAGTATATTACTTTTATAACTGAAAATATATTTTCCCCTCAAAATGCTTTACCTCACTGAACTTTCTCCTAGTGAAAAAACTTAGCTTATACTTAACCACTTGGGCTTATTCTATTTCACGCAGTACCTCTCTATTTCTAGGACGTACTGGCGACAAGCTAAAATGATTATAAGCAAATTCAGTCAATCCTATAAACTAAATGAAGAAAATGAAGGCCAACCTAAAAGCCATGACTTACCTTCCTGGCTTGTTCTTGCAAATGTTGGATTTGCTCAGCTATCACTGTCAGCTTGTTGGTGGCATTTGCTCGGACAAATTCATCAGCCTAAAGGTGAGAGAAAACTGAACTGTGGGTAGAAAAAGGGTCAGATTTCTGCGATGCTTTTAGTTAGATCCCCGTGTGAAGAGTTACGTCAGTATCTTTGCTTGTGCCTAAAACATTCTTCCCATCCTCACCATTCCCCCATGAACTCCCATTCATCTCAAAGCGCAGCTCAAACAGCACTGCTTATGAGAGGCGAACCCTGATAGGACCGCGCACCACAGGATTCAGTGCTCCTTCTTTCCTCCTTCCCATAGCTTCCTACCCTTGTCACTCTATGTTCTAGTCACACTGAACTTCTCCGGTCCACCAACATACTCTATTCCGTCTTGCTACCAGATACATTGATTATGCCCTCTTCTCCATCAGATACATTTTTCCTTTTGCTCTTTATTCCTCAGGTCTCCATTTATTTTCTCATGTTTAAACATTTCTGAAATCAGGGATGTTTTACAATGAAAATCCAGACACTTGTGATAGACCTCTTATCACCCGTTATATAGGAATCTAGCTATATGCAGAAAGTTTCTGTTAACATGACCATTATTTGAGTTGAACTTATAATTACATTATAACTGTTACTTAAAATGTATTTTAAAAGATTTTGCTATGGCTTAGATCTGAAAGTTATAATGTATACACAAGACTACCTGTCATTGCTAAAAATGTAACTGAAGGCAAGGGAAATTGCTTAAAATAAATCAAATCAAGTTGAAAGCTAGGAAAGATGATGTGACCAACTGATGTATTGGCAAGGTTATCACTCAGGCATCAGAGATCTGTCAAAAACTTTCAGCTTACTTTCAAGAACAGTTGATTCCTTAACAATTAAGTTAAGGAAAAAAAATTAGGAGGTTAAAATTGAACTAATTTGCTGGTTAGTTGAGGGAGATTAAGATAAAAGTCAGGTATAAGCCAGTGTTACAAGTGAACAGGAAAAATTGAATAAGTTGAGTCAATCATTTATCTGTTCCACAAATATGTATTTTACAACCACTGTATGTAAGACATCATGCTCAGCACTGGATACACTGGCAAAAATGAGAAAGAGGTCCTTACCTTCATCAAGATTACGATCTAATGCAACTGTCCTTTAGAATATAAAGCAAGTTGCATACGTAATTTTAATTTTCTTATAGCCGTGTTAAAAGTAAAAATAAGTAAACTGAATTTTAATAATATATTTTATTTAATCCAATATATCAAAAGCATTATCACATCAACATATATTTTAAAAATTGTTGAGATATATTACATTTCATATTAAGTATATATTTTATACTCACAGCCTATATCAATATGGATGCTAAATTTTCATTGGAAATACTTGATCTATATTTAGACTTCAAAAAATTTACAGCTGAGTCAATTCACATATTCAAATTGTTCCAAATATACTTAAGTCTCCAATAATTATCAGGTTTTAACCTTTCGTTAAAATTACATAAAATTTAAAATTCAGTTTCTCAGTTGCACTAACCATACATTCCCAAGAGCTCCACAGCCATTTGTAGCTAGTGGCTACCATATTATATGCAGAGCCCTAGTGAGTAATACAGATACCAAAAAGAAAGATAATTAAAAATAATATTATACGTACTTGGAACAATGACACAGTATTAAGAAGGAAACAGCCATAATTATGTAGTAGAAACAAATTAAAGAAAACCAATTAATGAAGTAACTGGTTTAATAACAGGGAGTGGTATCCAAGTGCAGAAGCATTCAAATTAATACTGACATTTAGATGGGGTAGGGTATAGTCTTCTACAGACTAAAGGCCCCACTGAGGCTGTGACGCTGACCTGGGTCTGAGTGAAAGGAAAGGGCCAGCCATGCAAAAAACTGGAGAAGTTTCCAGGCATTTTTTAAAGATGTTATTTATTTATTTTCAGAGAGAGAGGTCTGGGGGGAGAGAGAGAGGGAGAGAAACACTGATTTGCTGCCTCTCGAGCATCCCCAACCAGGGCCCGACGCTGGCTGCCCTGACTGGGAATTGAACGAGTGACTTTTCTGTTTGTAGGACAATCCCCAACCCACTGAGCTACACCAGTCAGGGCAGCCTCCAGGCATTTCTGAAGCTACTGCTACCGAAGAAGAGTAGTTAGTGGTGGTGGGGTGGGGCAAGGTGTAAAAAAAAAAAAAAAAGGGCAGGGCCCAGATCATGGCCATAGCAAAAAAATCTGCATTTTGTTCTAAGGATAGCGAGGCACCTTACAGACACAATGAAAGAGTAAGTGGTTTCTAGAACTAAAGTAGTTCCTTTTTCTTAAGGTGGTGGCAGCAAATCTATTCCTTGTAAACATAAGGACCTAATTAGAACAGAGACGAGAGTACCTATGATTACTAAGCACAAAATCTGGCCTCAATCGTTGAGATCCTTTACATATATTATGATTTAATTCTCATTAACACCTGATGAAGTTGGAGATGGTAACTCCACTTTCTCATTTTCACCTCAGAAAGGTGAAGCAACCTGTCCAAGGTTTCACAGCTAACAGAGATTTAAACACAGATCAATCTGATTGCAAATTTCAGAGCTTTCTGAACACACATTAATACGTATAACACATGTCAGAGGTCAGTCCTGCTGGAAAGCACATTTCAGTACACAGGCAGTGAATACGCTCGCTTCACCTTGTCTCTAGAGTGTTTCTTCTTCAGAGTCTCAAAGAATGAAGGCATGGGGGAAATGGAGGCAGCACAATAACGGATCCTTTATATTTCACTACAAAAACTGTTTCTTCTTTCTTTCTTTGAGGCCATTGCAACAAACACGGTGGTTACTCAGTAACCCATGAAAATGTTTGCCTAAAATTTGGCCCTGGAAGCCTCCCTCCCAAAGAGTGATCTGATTAAACAGACACATGACATTCTTCTAACCCATGAAAGTTTTCCTTTGCCCCCCACCTCTCTAGGAAATAGAAGGCACAAGATTTGAATTAAAGGAGCTTTCCTAAACATTTGAATATTTTTTTAATCAAAAAAACTGAAGTACAGAGATGTTTATGCGAGAATTTTAGCACATTAATTATTAAATATCTTGAGCAAAATAAAGACCTTTGAACATAATCAAGGCTAAATGTGACAGCGTATACAAGGGTTAGTGGGTACCATGAGCTTTAAAGCTGCAGGGACCAGTACAAATGGAAAAGCGTTCTATAACTCAAAGTCTTGGTAAGAGATTAGATGGAATTTGGTTTTTCGGAGCTTTAGCTCTAGGAGCTCTCCTGGTTCAAACTCTGCATTTTATAAAGAAGTTGAGGTCCAGAGAAAAGTAATTTGCCTCCAGCCACAGTGCAAGTTAATATCAAAAGTAGGATTAAAGCTCATGTGTCCACATTCCAGTGCTTTTTCTGTTTATTTCACATTTTCTTCTTATGTTATTTCTTTTAGCAATCAATGTCTAAGCACTAGGCTTGTCCAACCAATACTGTGTCCAATGAATGAGGGCAAACTTAAAGAGTCCTTGCCCCTGTAGAAGATGTTAAGTTCTAAAAGCTCTCAGGTCACAAATATCTTAGAGAAAACAGTTTTAAGTGGACTATCCATCCCTGCAGAATATGCGTAAGAGATCTTGAAACTGCCCCGGAAACTTCCCTTCACGTGTCAAATAAGAATAGCTTCTGCACTGCCTACCTCATAGGGCTGTCCTAAGGCCCAAATGAAATAATCAATATTAACATTGCTGTGCAAACCTTCCCACGAATGAAGATTATGGACACTCAAATTGCAGCTGAAGAAGCCTTTGGTCTCAGATCAGAGTTCGAGTTAGGCCATTGACGCGCAATGACAATCAGTTTTTCCCTTGTGTAAAACGGAGACAGGAGCAAATGCTACCCCACACTTAGTGGCCGTGACATCCAAGGCGTAAGACACAAGAACAAATGCTACCCCACAGCAAATGGCTGTGAGATCCGAGCCGTAAGACGCAGGGCCGAACGTGAACGAACACGGTTATTTACCTCCCCAGCCGCGCCTCCTCACCTTCTGCACCTGCTCTGCGAGCGCCACGAGGTCTAAGGGGTCCCCGGCCCGGTGGGTGTGGTAGGGACTCACTAGGGCCACGCCGCCGGGGGTCGGGGTGAGCTCCACCAGGGCTCCTGCGACACACACCCAGGAACACAGGCCGTGAGGGCCCGCCCTCAGCCTCCCGCGGAGCCCGGCAGACTAGTTGCCCCGTGAATCCCTCTTTCCCCTTTTGACTCCCGCCCGGCGTACCTCCCCGATCTGTTGCTGACTGAACTTGGTTTTCACGGACTCCCTCAGTCGGCCCGGGCAGTTCAGCGTCGTCCATGTTTGCGCCTGACCTACCCACCACCCCAGCGACGGAAGAGCATGCGCACAAAGGCTCATGGGCGGAGATTCCGTGTTCCCTGGCCAGTGCGCGTCGGAGCTGAGTAGGTCGGAGGCGGGGCTCCGGCCTATGCACAGGGGCGGAGTCCATGCAAGCCTACAGTATCAGCAGCCCCTAGCTTGGGAGGCGGGGCTTCACTCGGGGGCGGGCACGGGGCGGAGCTTCCAGGGGGTGGGGCTCCGGTCTCCGTGGCGGGTGGCGAGCAACCCGGTTAGGTCCGAGGAGGTGATGGCGGCACGCTTGCTGAAGCTGCTAACAGGACTGCTGGCAGTCGCTGTCGCTGCCGCTGCCTCCCGGGCCCATGTCGAGTCCGAGGCAGTGTGGGACTTGTCGGCGCCGGATCTGCTCTTCGCCGAGGGGACCGCGGCCTACGCGCGAGGGGATTGGCCCGGGGTGGTACTGAGCATGGAGAGGGCGCTGCGCTCGCGGGCCGCCCTGCGCGCCCTCCGCCTGCGCTGCCGCACCCGGTGTGCCGCCGATTTCCCGTGGGAGCTGGACCCACAATCGGCCCCTAGCCTGATGCAGGCCTCGGGCGCCGCCGCCCTGCACGATCTGCGCTTCTTCGGGGGCCTGCTGCGCCGCGCAGCCTGTCTGCGCCGCTGCTTAGGTCCGCCGGCCGCCCACTCTCTCAGCGAGGAGCTGGAGTTGGAGTTTCACAAGCGGAGCCCCTACAACTACCTGCAGGTCGCCTATTTCAAGGTGCAGACCTGTCCTGGCCGGGGTTCTTCTGGGCGGGGTTGAAGGCGACCCAGGGGAACTTGGGAAGCCTGGGAAGTGTCCGTGGAGAGGGAAGATGGTCTCTTGGCCCGGGAGCTCTCCTCGGACCCCGGGAGAGCAAGGACCCTGTCAAGAGACCTGCCTCACCCGCTTCGCCTAATCAGACGGTAACCCCAAAGGTCCAGCCTAGGCATCCACCAGGCAAAACTTGGCCTGTGTTTCCCTGAAGGACCACCTAAAGGGAAATAAAGCGGCAGCTTGGGTCTCTCATCCTGATCTCAATGTGAGTGTCCGAGTGAGAAGCTAGGACCTTTCTACACTATCTTCCTTCCGGTTCGTTTTTCAGTGATGCTTTTCCTGCTGCCCGAGTGCCTAAGCTTTCTTTCAGGACGTGAGGTTGCCACGTCGCCAGTAGGGGCGGTCTGGCCCCTCCCTGTGGGGGACCCTCTGTCTCGTCTATCAGGTTTCCAAAGAAAAGGAGTAATTTTAGGAATGCCAGAGTGCCTTAAATTCAAGTGTATTCATGGATTTGGAGTGCTCCTGGCATGCTTGATGATGATGATGAAGATGATAGCACATATTTGCAGGCACTACGTATTTAGAATACCTTTGCCCAGACCCTGGCAATATCCTCTAAGGTAGGTACTATTATTAGCCTCATTTCATTGGGTAAAAAAAGAAGAAAGCTGTGCTGCACACCTGCAATATTCGTAGTTTAACAGGCCTTCAATTCAACATAAAGGGAGACTTAGAAAATCTTGAGTATCTCAGACTTCCACCTCTCAAGTATTTTGTGTACACGGTTCTGCCCCATTCCTCCTCCTTACTCAGAAGACTACTGGGCTGGAAACCAAAATAATTGGGCTGTCTTTGCTCATGTCACCTAACAGCACTTTTTACAATTCTTTGACAAACGTTTATTGAATACCTCCTACGTTCCAGTTCTTGTACAGGTAATTAAAGTGCTGGACTTCATGGTTTTTTGTTCATCTTGCTTTGCTGTCAAGAATCACTATAATGAGGGCTACTAAAAGGTGTGTACCTAGGGCTGTGGTTGCACAAAGGAGGGAGAATCTAGCTTTGTCTCAGAAATTAGAGAAACTTAAAAGAAGAAGTGACATTTGAAGCTGATTCTAGATATTGCTAGTCTTCTAGAGCAAGGATGGCCATTCCAGGTAGAGGGAGGCCAGACTGGAAAGAGACCTGTAGGCTTCAGGGAGCCATCATTAAATTGTTTTAAAACGTTAACTAACCCTGGAAGCCATGTGGATCAAGCCTCGGAAGGAGAAAGTGGTGGCAGGACGAACCATTAGGAGATGAGTGCAGTTGTTCCTATGAGAGAAGGAAACTGGCTGCCTCAGTGCTTAGGGCTGAGGGTAGAGAGAGGAGTGAGATGAGGGGAACAGAGAAAGCAAGAGCAATTCCGAAAGATGAGAAAGAGAATAAATCCATAGAAGGAATGTATGAGAGAGTGTAGTTTTATAATTAAGGAAACTGAGGTACAGAGCTGGGAATTATTGACTTTGGGTCACAGTCAAGGCTGACTCCTTGTTTAGTGTGCATTTACTAGTAGCAGTGATCAGAAAAGAAAAATTTCTAGCATGTTAATATGCTAAGATTTACATTTTTTGAGCATTTACTATGTGCCCAGCACCATGTGTTAGAAGCTGTATGTATATTATCTGGTTTAACCTTCCCAACAAGGCTATGAGGTAGTGCTGTCTCCAGATGCCAGATTAGGGAACTGATCTGTAACCTTTAATTTGTCTAAAGCCCCAGTAAGTGAATAATTAAACCTAGGTTTAGCCCTGCCTAAGTAGCTCATTAGGTTGGAGGGTCGTCCCAATACGCCAAGTTTTCGAGTTCAATCCCCTGTTAGGGTACATACAAGAATCAACTAGTGAATGTATAAAGAGGTGGAACAGCAAATCGATGTGTGTGTCTCTCTCTCCCCTCCCCACTCACTCTAAAATCAATAAATTTTAAAAAAAGCAAACCCTAGATTTATCACTGGTTCGTCTGACATCAAAGCCTATTAATTAATCATTAGATCATCAGTGATTTCTTTTGGATTTTACATATGAACCTGTGTAACTTTAATATGCTAGAGACCATTGCTATGAGCATTATTGGGGGCTGTAGCACATTTGCCCCCACTCAGATATCTGTATGGCAATTTACTTTAACCTCATGAGTCAGAAAAATGCCATGTCTGGATTGTATAAGAGCTTAGAATTTTTCAGCCACCCATCTTTTCCTTGAATGTGTCAAACACTTACTTTTATGCAAAAAAAAAAAAAAAAAATTTCTATGCAAATTCTTAGGCATGATCTAGTTAACTGCTTTCTTCCCTAACCCTAAATCCTTAAAGCCTTAGATTTTCTTCAGCTTAGTCAATATATCTGAATCTTGAGAATATATATTTGGGCACTTCTGTAGTGTTCTCCCTGTAATACAACCTTTATTTTAAAGCATAAAGTTTACATTGCTGAAGCATTACCTCCTGTAATTTGGGGAGCCCCTAAGCCTGATTTGGGAAGTAGCTGAAAATCTGCCCAGGGCCCTGTGTTCTTAATCTCTTGTATATACGTAGTTCTTGCCATAGGTGTGTTTTCTGGGGCAGGCAGGGGCTGGCACACTGAATGGGAGGCTCAGGAAGGCTGGGATTTCCTGTTTACTGTGGACTGCACATTTGGACACAAACCTTCAGGACTGGGATGTAAGAATCACGTTCTTGTGCTTCATTCATAGATAAATAAGTTGGAGAAAGCCGTAGCAGCAGCGCACACTTTCTTCGTGGGCAATCCTGAGCACATGGAGATGCGTCAGAACCTAGACTATTACCAGACCATGTCTGGAGTGAAGGAGGCCGACTTCCAGGACCTTGAGGCCAAACCTCATATGGTGAAAAACTTTATCCCCTTATTAAAAGTGGCGCTAGGGTTGTTTTCTGATTACAGAAGTAATATATGTTCATTGTACACCATTAGAGCAATGCTGCTAAGTGTAAAACAGAAGGTAGTAATTTATAATATTGCCACCTTAGAAAAACCAGTAGTTGATATTTTGGCCTGTAGTTTAAGTTTTCTGTGTAATTTTTAAACATAATTTGAAGTCATATTCTGTGTGTATTTTTCCATCATCCTTTTTGAACGAACATTATATCATGAGCCTTTTCTCGTGTCTTTAAATTTTCTTTTAAAACACATTTTTTAATGGCTGCATGATGTCCATCTTATACATAGATTGTATTAATTCACTAGTCACAGTGTTTTGGTTGTGTGTGCAGGTTTTGCTTTTTACTGCAATAAGTGGTACAGTATTCCTGAACGTTCTGGTTTGATTGGGTTGGCAGGAAAATTATGTATTCCATAAGAGATGTCTGTAATGATATAGCATTTTTATAAAGAGCTTATGTTCTCTTAAGGTTTAATAGTTTAAAAATAGAGACATTCATATTAGAAACAATATCAGAATAACTTTTATATGTAAATCGTGTACACATAGTACATTACACACTACACACAGTCTTGAGGAGGGTGTTGTTTGTTTTTTAGTGATTCTGTGACAAATGAACATGGTTATTGTCCACGAGAATGAGAGCTGTGTCCCACAGACAGCAAAAGCAAAGTCTGCAATCAGCTGCTTGCAACCGCCCCAAATCGTTCTTTACCGCTGGAAAGATTGCTCTCATCACCACAGGCCACATTCTAAAGTTTAAGAGTTAAATTTTTTTCATTAAACTTTTATTTTGGAAAGCGTAGCCCTGACAGAAAAGTGAAGCAAATTACAATGAACTGGCACGTCTTTCATCTAGATCTAGTTAAATGTTTTTAATTTTCAAAAGAAGCAAATCAAGACCACTTACAAAAGCCTTCCAGTGCGTAGCAGCCACCCTTTCCATCCGTCACCTGAGAGGAGCAGGCTTGGACACGCTTGTGAAGGTGGCGGGGGACAAGGAGTGGGCTGTGTGTGGCCTGCGTTTGAGTACTCCTTCCTCCCAGTAGGACGAGTTCCGACTGGGAGTGCGACTCTACTCAGAGGAGCAGCCGCAGGAAGCCGTGCCCCACCTAGAGGCAGCCCTCCGGGAGTACTTTGTGGCGGACGAGGAGTGCCGGGCCCTCTGCGAAGGACCCTACGACTATGACGGCTACAACTACCTCGAGTACAACGCAGACCTCTTCCAGGCCATCACAGGTGCGCGGCTCAGAGCCCAGTCCGCGGCCGGGCCTGTCCGAGCGTTAAGGACAATGTCGTGATAACACC